ATAGAAGGTCATTTGAGAGGCAAAGGCATTTGGCATTGTGGGAGACAGAGAAAGGCCACTGCCAGGAGGTGACATTGGAGCCAAGACTTGAAGCAAGCCAGGTAAGCTGGGACAGTGAGATCAGGCCAAGACTAGGCCAGGTCGGAAGCCAGAGAAAATGTCATCTGAGGATAGAGTAGCCTTTGAGAATGCCAAGGGAGCTAGCTCTACTGGATCAGAGATACCTTGGAGCAATGTCAATGGTCAGCAGATTGGAAAGGTGAGGTGGAGGGCGGGTTGGAGAGGGAGAAAGAGGGAGAGAAAGACAGAGTGAGAAATGGAGTGAAAGAGAGAATGAGACAGAGAGACACCAAAACATGGGAGAGAGAGGAAGGGATAGAGAGACAGTCACAAATAGAGCAAGAAAGAAAGTGGGAGAGGATGAATGAGAGAAAGTAACAGAGATTGAGAAAGAAAATGAATGAGAGTGTGAGATGGAAAAAGAGACAAACAATGAGAAATAGAGGGAGAAAAAAGAGAGTAGGTGAGAGAAAGAATGAGAGAGGGAGACAAAAAGATGGAAGGAGAGAGACAGCAAGAGAAATACAAAGTGAGAGATAAAAAGAAAGAATAAGAAAGAGGGAAAGAGACTGAGTGATAAGCAGAGAGAGAGACAGCAAAAGAAAGGGGAAAGAAAAAACAGTGGGAGAGAATGAATGAGACAGAGAGTAAAAGGAAGAATGAAAGAGAAATGTAGGGAAAGAGAAAAAGAATGGGAGAAAGACAGACACAGTGAGAAATAGAGGGACACATAGAACAAGAGACAGAGGATGAGAGAAAAGAGAGAGTGAAGGAGAGAGGAGTAGAGACAAAAAGAAACAGCAATAGAAATCGAGAGAATGAGACAGAGTGAGAGAAAGAGAGAGAAAAGAGAATGGGACACAGAGAGACACAAACAGTGAGCGAACTAGAGGGAGAGAGAGTGGAAGAGAGCCAAAAGAATGTGAGTGAGACAGAGAAAGGGAGTGGGAGAG